AAAAAAAGACTTTAGTACATTGGGATTAATGAAGTCTGAAATCCTGATAAAAAGATTCTCCAAATTGAGATATATGGGTATTGCAATAAAAAACAAATGCTAGCTTATAATCTGAAGTCAAAGTTAAAACGTATGTTTTACTTGTTTTATATGTACATTATGCTATTTTTACATGTCTTTTTTTAAAGTGACACAGCCTATATGGATAATAATAAAAAAGGCCACAGTGCAGTGACCGTGCTAACGACTGCACCACCATCATGGTTACTTTGAAGTATCTTTCTTGATAATCAATGTTCCTCCCACAGTCCAAACATATGCTTGATTGTAAGTTGTATAATATGAACATGGATGACATTCATTCTCTGTATGCCACCTATGGCAGCTGGGAGCTGGAGAACATGAATGGATGGAATAGATTATATTATTTATCACTTTCTTTTTCTATCATTCATGTGCTGTATTTTTTTAATGTATGAAATAGAAAAAAAAACCCCACACAACATGATTCAGTGTTTGTGATGTTTATTTATCATCAGATATAAATCACAATTACACATATAAAAAGAAATTAATATTATTTAAAAAAAACATTTATTTTACATTGGTATCATTTCATATCCATGTTTTCAGGTTTGTCCTGTGTGCTGCTGTGTGTCTCTGTCCTGCTGTCTTCTGCCTGTGAACACACACTCTGCTGTGCTTTGTCCTCTGAGCTCCTCTTGATAGTCAGCTCTCTCTCAGCCTCTTCAACACACGGAGCTTTGGCTGCCTGGATGTGGAGCTTCCCATCTGGAGACAGGTGGCACGTGAGGGTTTGAGGGTTCAGTCCTTCAGGCAGATCAAACTCCTGTCTGAACTCCTGCAGTCTGTAAGAGTACGAGCCTTTCCCGTCCTCCTGCTTCTTCTCTGTCTTGCCACTGACTCTCAGCTTCCTGCCCACCTGCCTGACAGACAGCTCCTCTGGGGAAAAGCCTCGAGTGTCCAGCATCAGAGCAAACTTGTCTCCCTCTTTCTCCAGCTGGACGGCAACTGGCTGCACAGCCATGCTGCTTTGGAAAGGATCTGTCTCCTCCAGGATCCTGTGTTGAAGTTTATCCATCAGCTCCAGACTGCTGCACAG